ATTGTTGTGTCGAAGGGATTATTACCCCCNGGAAAGTGATCCCCAATCGCCTGACAAGCGACTGACCGCCGGGGACACAGGCGCGTGGGTCCGCGCGTGTGTGTGTCTGGGTGCGTGGGTGCGTGCGTGTGCGTGTGTGTCCCTGTGCGTGCGCGCGTGCGCGTTGGGGGTAGTGGGGAGCAAGGAAACCTGCCCAAGGCTTCGCCCCGACCCGACCCGACCCGCCCGGGAATCGAACCCGGGTCCTCTCGCTCGCTCGCTCGCGGGGGCCCTGTGGTGGTGGGAGTCTTAACCGGGAGATGAGGGTCCCGGTTGCCATCACCGAGGGACGAGAACGGACGTGGGACCTGCAAGTTCTTGTTGAAGACTTGGCCCAGGTTGCGGAAGCAGCCCGAGGGCAGCTGGTTGCTTTGGAGCCAGCGCAGGGGGTCACCGAGCTCGTTGACCCCGATATCGATGTACCTCCTCGCGTGGGAAAAAGACTTCAGGACGAAGGCGGTGAGCCTGGGAAGGAGACACAAAATCAGAGCTCCGAGGGCTTCCCAGGCCATGGACCACACAGCAACATCATCATCAACAACAACTTGCATTTACACAGCGCCCTTCAAGGTCCTTCTTCCTCCCCCCCACCACCACCTACAGCTCTCCAACCTCCTCTCGTGTCGGACTGTCCGCTAACCTCCTCTCAGCGGACGCCGGGAGTTGGGGGTCAGGAGGGGTGGAGGGCAGGGTTAGGGGTTGGGGCGGGAGGGTGCCCGAAGGCGCAGTCGAAGGGGGGAGGTCTTTAGACGGGACTAAAGAGGGGGAGGGGGCGAGGGGGAGGGACGGGGGGATGGAGTTCCAGAGGATGGGGACAGAGTGGCTGAAGGTCCGACCGCCAATGGTGGTGGGGGGGGGGTGCGAGGCGGGGGACGTGAAGCAGGCCGGAGCCCGCTGGGCGGAGGGAGCGGACAGGTTGGTGGGGTGGGGGGCGGTGGGGGGGGGGGGGGTGAGGGTGGGGGGTGGCGGGGGTCCCGGAGCCCGGTGTTGAGACCTACCAGGTGTTGCCCCCATGATCCTCATCGCCAAACACACTGTACGATCCGTCCGGGTGTTTGAACGAAAGTTGCCGCTGATACCCTGAGTAACAACAGGAGGTTAGACTCCACACACAGTAATAGCAATAATAATAATAGTAATAATAATAGTAACAATAATAGTAATAATATAAGTAATAATAATAGGAATAGTAGTAGTAGTGATAATAGTAATAATGACAGTAATAATAATAGTAGTAATAATAATAATCCCTGCGTCTGATACGGCAGCTCATCACGTCTCGAAGCGCTTCACAGAACACACTGTAAAGTGTAGTGACTGTGTGTTTTGTGGGCGAAACGCGGCAGCCGATCGCGCTCAGCGTCGTCCCCACAAACAGCTGTGGATTGAGCGACCGCATTTTTTTCGTTGCCGCTGGCGGGCGGTGGGGGGGGGGGCGGGGGCGGGGAGGGGGAGGGGGGGGTTTGGGGTGGGGTTTGGGTGTGGGGGGGAGAATGGGGGTTGAGGGGGTAAGGAAGCTTTCCCGAGGCCCCAGCGCGGGTCCAAACCCCCGACTGCCCGGCCCAGCGCCTTGGGCCGTCCTCCTGACATGAGGGGCGGGCGCTGTGCGAACGTCC